TAGAGTGGGTCTCCATTAAATTTATTTATCTGCTTCAGTTGCAGAAGGAAATGGTTCATTGATACATCTGAAAGGGTTTGTGCAGCTTTTGATGCTGCGGCTACGGCTGCTGCTGCTGCTGATGTTGATGGCAGATCCATATTTAATGTTTTTTTTTTTTAGTTGTTGTATTTAGGCGAAATAATTTAGATTATTTTCACTGGTTTAGACACTAGAAATCCTCATTCGTGATTTAACTAATGTTGTTTTTTAAAAAATTTTTTTTTTTAAGTAAGTTCGTTTTGCGGATACAAATAATGTTTTATTTTCGCGAAGTAATTTTTTAATTCCTTTTTAGGTAGTCACTCGCGAGGATATTACTTGTATCCTACCGGCTGCGCCAATTATGTTTTTCGGTTCGGAATATATTAAAAAAAAAGCGATTTTTATTTTAATATATAGCGGAGTCTTTATTGGTAAAGTTCTTTCAAGTTAGATCCCCAATCTTAAACTGATTTTACAAAATGCATTATTCTTATAACTATGGCTTCTACCGGTGACAGCGCGCGAGCAGCGAAAGTGGACTTTGATTAGATAATTTTGATTGGTCAAAACTGTGGCCTGATGGGTTGGTTTCTAGGCTGCATCTTTTGTTTAATTAATTTGGATTGGCCAAAGCTTTTATGCTGACGAATGGGTTCTCAGGCTGGACCCTTTGTTTAAAGGTCTGAATATTGTTTATGTCTGCCGTCGTCGATAAAGGCGTGTGAAGTGTTTATAATTCGGATGCCGCCGATCGAAGGCGTGGGAAAGATTTATGTCTGAGGGGTTAAATGTTTATGTTGGATTGATTTGAATAACTGTAATAGTAGGCTCTGGACTTATGTTATTGACAATTGTTAAATGTTTATGTCGGATTGATTTGAATAACTGCAATAGTAGGCTCTGGGCTTATGTTATTGACAATTGGAATAATGGGTATCTCTGGATATACAGGTTGTATGTTGGGTTTGGTAGCTAGGGTATTTGCGTATACGTCATTTTTTTTTTTTATTCCTCCTTTTTTAAAAAAAAAAAAAAAAAAAAAAAAAAAAAAAAAAAAAAAAAAGTATATGGGAGTTCTAAAACAAAAAAGATATTTTTATGTGAAAAGTATAAACCGAACGTATCGCAACTTAAAAGACGGTAAATTGTCTGTTAATCCGGTTGAGCTAGAGTGTGGTTTAGAAATCCTAAATACTCACGATGAAGATGTGGGGCAAGCAACTTATCCAAAAGCCGCATTGGTTATTTAGAATGATTTTTATGTTAACGATTTGTTGACTGGCGCCGATTGCGTTGAGGACCTGCAATGCCTTCGAGACGAAGCTTCTTAGGTTTTCCAAGAGCCAGGATTTGAACAGGCTAAGTTTTGCCCAGAGTTATCCGCATATGACAGCGCTATAATGCCACTTACGGCAGGCTCAGACGTAACTTAGACCTTTGGCGTGGTTTGGTTACCGGTATAAGATTACTTCCAAGTTAGGTTGCATGACTATTTTCTGGTTCTTCGCGCGAATAAACAAAATATTTTGACGGTGACTGCTTGACTTTTCGATCCTCTTGGCCATTGGTTACATGGGCAAAAATGTTGTTGCAGGAGCTGTGGCTCCGAAACCTAGATTGGGACGAGTCGCTACCAATGCAGTTGCTTACTTCGTGCAGCTGCCAAAAATTAAGGTATTGCGATTCGTCCACACAGATCCGCTAGTCCCGATTCAAATAAATGGTATGGAGCGTGCATCTACGTTCGTACTCAAACTGCTAAAGGTTTAAAAGTGTCTTGATTGACCGCCAAATTAAAAGTAGCTTCGCTCAAGACGAAAACTTTGCATCGCTTTGAGCTGTGCGCATCTCACCTTTAGCAGATCTGTATAATCGTGTCAGGCCATTGCTAAATTTTCTCATTGAAAATGTTTTTCTATGGACAGACTCCGAGATTACATTACACTGTCAAACCGGGTCGTAGAGATTCAAGAGTGGTCGGAGAACGCAACTTAGAGACACGTTCCCACGAAAGTTAACGCAGCAGACATGGTGTCTCGTGGATGTGACGTAGAGGAGCTTACAACGTTTATCAGGAATCTCGTAGTCAGCCCAGAGCCAAATTATCTGCTTCAGAAAATAGAAAACTTTTCGCCGCACCGGAAACTTCTGAGATTTTTCGCATGGGTTTTCCGCTTTATTCAAAGGTACAGAAAAGGGTCGAAGACCTTTGAAAAAAGTATTTCGCCAAGAGAACTGAATTTAGCTTTTGAGTAAATTGTTGAAGTTATCCAATTTCACGAATTTAGTGACGATATAAGTAAAATTCAAAAAAATAAACCGGTAGCAACGAATATTCAAATAAAATTGGTGTTCCTCGATATTGCTACGAGTTGGGGGAGTCAGTTTTTGAATGCTCCTATCCCGTACGAAGCCAAATTCCCGCAGGAAGGAGTATACCGGCGAGCCATCCATCGGCTAGCCCCCTGGCCTGTGTTGGGCTGAAGGAACGAACTTTTTGAGAACTATCTAGTTGTAAAGGGAGAGCGGGAGCCAATTAAGCTTTCATTTGCTCTTGCGAATTCGCCCCGTCTCTCGCCCCATAGCTAAGCATAGGTCTAAGAGATGCAAAATAAAAATAAAAAGCCAGTGTTTAATCGAATCTGATCTTCACCGCACTCCCTTTCGTCAACGCTATTTCGCCAAATAAAATCGTCGCTCTTTTCCAAACAAGGTTCGCATTTCCTTTTTTTTATTTTATAATGACAAATTATTGTTGATTTACTTTTACTAAAACCTATTATCATACGTATATTTTTGTTTTTTATTGAAGTATCTTACGTTCCACGATTTAACTTTTGATATTCTTTATTTTTGCATGTTGATAAAGAAAACAATCTTTAAGTTTGGTATTAATTTGAGTTGCTCTTCTAATTGTTTTGAGTTCATTTGGCAAAGTGATACAGATAAATTGGTTCTTAAAAAGAACATGAAAAGAAGCAAATTTCGGCAAGCTGCAGTTTATATACTCTTGCAGCTATTACAAAACGACTAAATTTCGATTTCTATTGCTCTATTACTAATAACAATGAAGCTATGTCGATTTTGCGCTGCATTGCGCTTGCCATTGTTTCTATGGCAGCTATATGATATCGTTGTCCGATTTTGACAAAACTAAAAGCGTAATTCTGATATAGTAAATAATTACTATATATCGATGGAATATTTATTTTTCATTTTTATCTTTTTAAATTTTTGATTTTCTTATGGGATCTATATTGTATGGGTGTCCGATCTTAATTTAATTAAAATGATAAATCCATAGTATTTAAATATTATCAGATCTTTTTTTTCAGAACTTTTTTTTCCGATTGTTCCCATGGGAGCCATATGATAAAGTCGCCCGATCCGGCTCGTTCCGACTTATATATACTGCCTGCAATAGAAAGACAAGTTTTGGGAAAATTTCAAGCAGATAGCTTTAAAACTGGGGGACTAGTTCGCTTAGAAACGGAGGGACGGACAGACGGACGGACGAATGAATGCATGGCTAGTTCGACTCTGCTGGTGATGGTGATCAATAATATATATACCTTATAGGGTCGGAAATGTCTCCTTCACTGCGTTGCAAACTTTTGACTTGAATTATAATACCCTCTGCAAGGGTATAAAAATTTATAAGCACATAGCATTAAAACTGAGGGTCTAGCTTGCGTAGAAACGGACGGACGGACGGAAAAACAGACGGACGGACAGTAGGACGTACAGTAGGACGGACAGTAGGACGGACAGTAGGACGGACAGTAGGACGGACAGTAGGACGGACAGTAGGACGGACAGTAGGACGGACAGTAGGACGGACAGTAGGACGGACAGTAGGACGGACAGTAGGACGGACAGACGGACAGACGGACATGGCTAGATCGACTCTCCTGGTGATACTGATTAAGAATATATTATATATACTTTTTAGCGTCGGAAATTATAAATTATATTACCTTCTGCAAGGGTATACAAATTATTAACATACGTTGTATCCGTGAGATGAAATCAAGGCCAAGAATTTTAGGTGTGATACATGGTCAAGTCGACCTAAATTAAACACATATCGAACATTTGAGTTAAATTCTCCTGTTATAGTGTATATATTTCGTGGGTCCCAAAGACCAAATATTTCAACTGAACAGAAGACAGCTGGAAATTCTAAATTTATAAGTGTTTTTCGAACTTTTATTCCTGGGAAAATTGTTTATTGTTTGTAGTTAATTTTTTCATGATAGTGTCACATCTATTCGTCGGTACAAAAAACAAAACACTCCGATTTTTTGTTATTTATTCCTAAAGGTTGATTATTTCTTGCTTAGTAAAGAGTTCCGTTCTAAGTAACTTTGAATGGAATGACATAATTAAAACGAAAAAAAGATTGGTCCGAGGACGTTGTTGGGATATGAAATCGGAAGAACTTATCTCTTTTGGAAATGGTTAGGTTAAAGATAAAAGTTATGTAAGACAATCTCCACAGCCTTTTTGTTTTATTTATGTACATTTTCGGTTGGGTATCGATTCCATTTAATGTAATCAATATCTCACTGGTAAATAAGGATTTTATTTTCTTTAAATGTAAGCGTACAAATCTACATCAGTTATTAGATCAACACAAAAGGTCCAGTAAAACCAGGATCAGATAAATAGTATCTGAAACATTTCCTTTCATAACAACTATAAAATCGTTTGAATTTTATAAAATTTAAATCAAATTATTGAAAATCTAAAGTGTATGCGTATAATTTTAATAAGAGTTATATTTTTTATTTTACGTTCCGTTCCGATCTTATGCAATGCTAAAATAACTTTCTTGGCTAACATTATAATTTCATCAATTCTTATTTTTTTATCCGCCAATATCGAGCGCCGAATTTTGAAAAAAGGATATAAAATTTTCGTTTTCCAATTTATATACTTATGCAAAAATATATTTTAGGCAAAACTGTACTTACGAGCAAGGTGCAATATTTCGGAGTCAGACTCAGAAATTTTTTTAAAAAAGTATTCAACCACATTAAGAACGGCAACAAAAGCGGAAAAGATTAAACTGAAAAGAAACATTTTAAAGAATTGGTTAATTTTCCGATTATTAAAAAATAGATGCTAAGTAAATTTATTTTTTGTACAGAATTTGCTGAAACGGTTAAAAGTAAGTTATTTTATACTTAATTAGCAATTTATATATATATTTTTACTTTTGTAGCGGAAGCCTATTCTGAAGAAATATTTTCTAGTCACCGAATTCTGAGCAATTACATTTTTTGATGTTTTGCAAAATGTTCGATTCAGCGAAAAACAAGGTCTCTGAGTTTAAGTAAAAGTTATTTATTGGCACAATTTTTCATTTAAATATTAAATGCAATGGTAAAACGACTTTGCCATGCTTTTTCATTTTTATATCCTTGCAGGGGGTATTATAATTTCAATCAAAACTTTGCAAGAATACGACTAGTAAAATGAAAACTCAGTATGCCTATTTAAATAATCTCAGGCCGATAGACATGCGCCAAAAAAGAATAAAATAGTTTTCCTAATTAATCAAATCTGAATGTTCGGGTGGCAATAAACTAGTGACTAGTGTTTTTTAATGATATCCATAATTTTATGAAAGGCCTCAATTATTTTTTGTCTTTGCATTTTCTTTTGAAGAGGAACATATAAACAAATACCCAAATGTATAACCGATTATATGTTCTTTTCTGTCACTCGGAGACCCATGAGAGCAGTGTGAATATGAAACTTAACGCTTACATATGTTACTGTGTTGCGCTTTTATAATCTCAATGACTCAAAGAGGTCTCCCGTGAGGGTTTCAACACAACCTTCTTTCTAGGGACAAAATTCGACGTTTTGTAACTTCGTACATATAAACAAGTTAGATGCCAGTAACTATAAAGGAATATCTAAGTTGGCAGCTATCTTTAAGCTTTTTGAAAAAGGCATTCCTCCTCATTTGCAGCACCTTTGTAATATTTCGTTCCACAACCAGTAACCTATTGGAGCTCACTTTATCTAAACTACTATATAAAAGTCTTTGAATAAAAAATGGGTCAGTGGTAAATTCCTACCAGAGCGGATTGACATAAAAATCTAGAAAAATCCGCATAATTCTGAAATAATTAGGAGACGTGTGTGAGGTACAAATTAAAACAATAAACGACCCCAAAGTGCCCCAAAATTCGATTCGTTTTTTTTTAAATTCTTTCTTTTGCCATTTTTCTGTTATAAATGTTGTTAAAATGGTTTAAAAAAATTATGATCATAATCTTATGGCATAGCCGCAACTAACTGCATTTAAATTTTTGCGAAATTCAGCCTCCTTAACCAAGTCCCCAATATTTTCCAATTCTCTTATGCGTGACGTCACGGCCTCCACATATGTTTGTATGTATGTTCTGCTGGCGCACTTTGCATTAAGTCGTAAATGAGTGTATGTAGCATTTTAAGTGTGACCGCGCAGGGGAAAAAATGAAAATACCAGTCACAAAAATTTAAAATGCGCGGTTAAAAAATCGATTATATCGCAAATCTTTTCATTTGTTTTCAAATGTTGAGTTATCTACAAACTTTGGATTTGTAAAAAAAAAAAATAAATAATGATTCGCTCTGCTATGTACACACACACGCACGAAATATGTATATCCAAAAAATCAAGATAATACTGATATCCTTTTGCAAAAAAGAATATTTAATTTACATTTCCACAACAGATTTAAGACATTTTGTAACCGATTTTTGTCATTTAAAATTCAAATCGCATTGATAATATTAAAAGAACATTAAATATTCAAACCAATTGATTCTCACGCTCTTTATTACATCGCTCATATTGTTTAAACAAATGCAAATGTTTAAACAATTTGATTCCCCCTTATAAAAAACCCCCCCTTCTTTCTTATTATTAATATAATTTTTCTTTTGCATACTTCTTTACGTCCCATTAAATGACCGTTTGTTTTAATTAAAAAAAAAGAAAAAGAACCTGTTGGTCGTGTACAAATACTTCATTATTTGCCAATTGTTTTTTTTTTTAATGTGTGGAAAGAAGGTGTGTAAAGAGGGGTTGGGGGCCCAAAAACGCCAAAACTGTAATTAGGTGATAGATGGACAGCCTCTTAAAATTGTTAACCAAGATAAAAATAAAGGAAATTGTATTATTGGGGACGCATTTAACTTTTCCTTTGGCATATTTCTTAATTTTTCTTACATAAATATTTGCTTTCCTAAGGGAGGAAGTTAAGAGAAATATAGTGTGTAGTAATATGCTTTGCAAAACATATTTCTTTACTTTGTCTGCAAATTTGTTTCAGAGTTTTCTCTTGGCAATTAGTTATCGTTGAGTTCTCTTGATGATAAGAAGAAAACGTGTTGTAATCAATTTTAATACATTAAAACAAGTTAAATTGTGATTACGCAAATTTTTGTTTAAACTTTATTTACGTTAACCATTTTGTGGTAAGTCAGAATCTTTCCTAATTAAAATTAAGTTGATATTTGGTTGCCAAGGCGGAGAGTGTGTAACAATACTCTTAACACTGAAAATAATTTCAGTGGTGCCATTCAACTATTTATTAAAGCTATATAAAAATAAGTTGTTTAACCGATTAGACCTTGAGTTTAGAAAATAACTCTATAGCTAACCCTATAGCTTTAATGGTCAAAATAACAAACTTTTGTTTGTTGGATTGTGAAAATAAGCGTTAACATTTTGAAAAAATAATTTTCAAAACTGTTGCTTTACGCATTCTATCTGTAATCGGCAGATTATTTTTAAACTTAAAATTTCCTAATATTTTAAAATCTAAATAGCTTTAATTTGGTTAGCTTTTTGGTTGCCAAGGCGAAGTTTGTATAACACACTCTGTAATCTCAAAATAATTTGAGTAACGTCTATTAAACCTATTACAAAAGCTAAACAACAAAAAGTTATATTAAACCGGTTAGACCTTGAGTTTAGAAAATAACTCTATAGCTGCTTCTATAGCTTTAATGGTCAAAATTACAAACTTTTGTTTGTTAGATTGTAATTTAAGCGTTATACATTTTGAAAAATATAATTTTCAAAACTGTTGCCTTAAACAATCTATCTGTAATCGGCAGACTTCTTAAAAACTTGAAATTTATTAAAATTTCAAAATTAAGTTACATTTAGTTTTGCATGAAAATTATTTAAATAACATATGATACGCATGTAACTTTTTAGTCTTAACTAACTGAATTAATATCTTTATATCTGCAAATCTTTGTTGTGCAGTGTGAAATTATTTTGCAATATATTTTGCAATATATAAACATCAATATTACTATTGCAAAAACTTATATATTTAAAAGTTAGATAAATAACTATTTAAATTACAAGTATATTTTAATAGCATTTTGAAATATTGATTTTTTTCTAGATTTACTGCTTACAATGGAAGTAGAGTATTTAAATATAGATGGTGCTCCGGTACCTCACTCTGTTATACCTATAACAGGTGATGGAGCTTGCTTATTCCGGGCTGTGTCCTACGTTTTGTTTGACAATGAAAGTTATGCTCAAGTCATTCGAAAATCAATAATTCGATTAATAGTTTCCCAATTTAGTTCATTTGTTGATGACACATGTAATTTTAACGGAGATAATTATGCCAATCCTGTGGATTATGAAAATGACATGATTAAACCGCACACGTGTGGTTCGTATGCTGAACTAAAAGCTGCTGCTAAATTGTACCCTATTTATATTGAAGTTTACTTTAATCAAACGCTCATTGCAGTTGCTGGTACAGAGGGCAGTACCATAAAAAGATTTCGTTTCAGTGGAAGCTTATCTGGTGGACATTATGATGTCTACAAGCCTATTGAAACCTTTAATGATAGAAGCTCTCCCACTCAAAATATATTAGAAGTTCCTTCTATGAAAAAAAAGAACATTCAAAGAAGAGGTCAACTTACTGATTTTTCTCGAAAAAAACAGAAAAAGATTGAAAATAAGAACTATCATGTTAGGCATCGTGAGGAAATTCAAACTGCAAAAAAAAACACAACAAAAGAATACAAAGAGTGCACATTCGTGGAAAGTAAAACATAATTCCGCTTTTTTATACGATTTAAATCTGGCATACAATTCTGATAAATCAGTTGATATTGGAATAATGAATAAGAGATGCTCATTTTGTGGCGCCTTAAAATGGAAGGAAGAGTCAAAAGGTATGTGTTGCAAAGAGGGAAAAGTCCAGCTTCCATCTCTTAAAACATTACCAGATCCTCTTTTAAGTCTTTTAAATGGTGATCACCCAGACCATACACATTTTATGGGGCTTACCAGAAAATATAATAATTGTTTTCAAATGACTTCATTTGGTGCGACAAAAGTTTTTAATGAAGGTTATATGCCCACATTTAAAGTACAGGGGCAAGTTTACCACTTAGTTGGTAGCGTTTTGCCAGCTTCTAAAGAAGAAGCTCAGTTTCTCCAAATTTATTTTATTGGTGAGGACAATGTAGAAGCCGATTTCAGGTGTAAAAACAGTCCTGGAGTTAAAAATGCGTTAGTTAAATCACTACAGTTGATGCTGCATGAAAGTAATCCATATGTTAAGGATTTTAAAACTGCTCTTAAAAGAGTTTCGAAGAATTGTAGCCAATTTAAAATGGTTATTCACGCCAATAAAAAGCCTGTTAGGGCTCATAGAGGTCGTTATAACGCACCCCAAGCAAATGAGGTCGCTTTGGTATTAGTTGACCAACAATTTGAAAAAAGGGACATTATTATTGAGGGTTATAATAATCAGTTAAAAAGAATCAGTGAACTTCACCGATCTTATGACGCCCTACAATATAAATTAATGTTTTGTCATGGAGAAGATGGTTACACTATAGATATACCCAAAATTGACCCCGTTTCAAAAAAACGTTAAGAAAACAGTCTCAGCGTTAGATTTTTACAGTTTCCGAATAATGCTTAGAGAAAATGTATGGAATCACCTGCACTATTTTAGAGCTCTCTTTAGTCAATTTTTGGTTGATATGTATGCTAAAATAGAAACAGAAAGGCTTA